AATGTAGCTACAAATGGTTTAATAAAGTACTACCGTGACTGCTTAAGGGAAAAAAAAAAAAAAAAAAAAAAAAAAAATTATTATATTATTATTAGTAATTGCTAGAATTTTCTGATTGCTTAGTAATCACTTAGTCACTTAGTTACTTAATCACTTAGTTGCTTAGTCACCTAGTTACTTAGTCAGTTAGTAATTAGTTGCTTAGTAATCATTAGTTATTAGTTACTAAAACCTTTTGGTTACTTAGTAATCACTTAATTGCTTAGTCGTTTAGTCACTTAGTTGCTTAATACTTAGTTACTTAGTTACTTAACTACTTAGTCACTTAGCTTACAGATATATAAACCTTGCTAAATCTCCTAAATGCAATTAAGTAACAGACATCTTTCTCTTCTTTAATATTGTAAACACATTTTGGGATTTTTTAGAAACAAAAACCTAAGAATAATCTTTTTTGTTATTACTTTAATAAATAGCTTTTGACTATAAACTGTATTAATACTTCTTCTTTAGAGTAATTCCTACAGACAAGGTTTATCTTCTTATAATAAAACAAAGTAAAGTTATTAGTATTACATTACTCTTTCTGAACTGCCTTAAAAAAAAATATAGTTCCTTAACAACATCTAACAAAAGTTATACTTTTTTTTTGAACATTACATATACCTATAAGAGATTCTCTGTATTGTATCTATTGCATATACCTGTAAGAAATTTCTTATGCTGTGTTATTATTATAGTATAAAAATTAAGAAAACTTTCATCTATAACAGTATTATTGTATTATTTTTAATTCATATCATCAATACTATTTAAAAAGTAAATACTACTGACTGTTTTGAGAATTTTATATATCAATTTTTAGAAGAAGATAAACTGAATTGCCTACTTTTATAAAATTTTTCTTAAAAAAAAGTAAAAGTGTTAAAAGAACCAACTTTTATCTTCTGCAAGTTTTTTGACTCTTGTGGAATACCCAAGCAGAAGTGTTAGGTAAGACAATTGGCAAGGAACCTTCAGACAAACTTCTTAAATAAGTAATATAGTAAAATTATATGTATAACCAATTATATGCTTTCCTGTAATGGTTCACTAAATCATATTACCAAAAAATTATTAATAAAAATCAAAAGACCAAAAAAGTCACCTTAACATCAAAAGAAAAAATATAAATATTAATATAAAAAAATAAAACAAGACATGTAGTTTCACTAAAAGCAAAATAAAGTTTTAATTATAAAATAATTATGCTAAAAGTAATATAAATAATATAAAAATATTTTCAAAAGAAATTATATAAAAAAATAAAAAAAATAAAAATTATTGATAAATAATAATAAAAAACTAAAAATTAAATCTTTTATTTTGGACCTTCTTTGCTAAGAAGCTTTTGAATTTATTTGAATGAAAAAAAGAATAACAATATTCACTATAGTTTTTATTAAATGATAAAAGATAGGTTGTGTTACTAAAAGTTTCAAGCATTAAAAATAAAATTCTATTTTTTTAGACCAGTTTGAAATTTGTTGAGAATTTTGTTAAAAATTTGTTTATTATGTTTGGTATATTAAATAATGCTTGAGCAACCTTTATCAATGGTAAATTTTTGAAGAAAAAAGATGGTTTGTTCTCGTTGATTTGTTTATTTTCGGCTAAATTAGAAATTTACCTTGATCCATTGAGTGAGGTGCTTGAGAACGCCCTTAGTCAAATTTAAAAAATAATGCCATGTCGAAATATATTTCGACACAAAAATTGTCTAAATGTTTGACTAAATAGAGTATTTCGACTAACAACATTAGTGAAGGGTGCACCAAATATAATTTTTCTTTTCATAATACTTTTTTTCTTAATAAAAAACTTAATACCCAGAAACTTTCCTAAACACAATTAAGTCATATTTATGACACTAATAATGACTTGAAAAAAATAATGGATAAAGATAAATATAAATTATTATGGATTCCGTATCATGAATTGGAAATTATTATGCTAATGAATTAGACCGATTCGGCACAAAATATTTTGAGTCGAACACCTCATAAGTAATATGTTTGTAATTTATTGATACGGCTAAATTATGAAAACAAAATTAACTAAAGCTTTTTTTTGTTTAAAATGCTATGCACTATGCTAAATACGTACCAATATCTATCTCTAATAATATTGATAATTTATTCTATAAAAAATATTTACAAAAAAAAAAATTCACAATTCTTTCAATATAATTGATTCATGAATTATCTGATAATATGTTTCCGATATATTCTTGTAGTAAAACTCCTAGAAAAATAAAAAAAAGTATTCAGACTATGCGAATATATAACCCGCAATATTCATAGCATAAACATACCCATTGTCAATAAGGCAGATTCATCCATTTGTCCAAAAATTTCAGGTAATTTATAGGAATTCGTATAATGATCACTGGCAAAACGACGAATAGAATCAAAGAATTCCTATATTTGTTAATGCAAGTTTTTTTTTAATTAATATCAAAGTTACTTCAAATAAAAGACAAAACGACAGACAGGGAGCAGGGACCCAAAAACTTATTTTATAAAACTCAGACTTTTATGGGTCCCTGCAGGGTGAACCCGCATCAAAGGTGGCTATGCTTATCACTGCCTAAATAGTATCTAATCCTAATTCAATAAAAATCGCGGGTTTCATTTTTTTATAATATTAATATAACATACTGGTTCCGGTAACGATAAATTTTCAGAATCATCAGAAGTTTCCTTATTCTCAACATCTGTAGGAACATCAACATCTGAAGGAGACATAATGTTCGCATCTTTAAGATACTTTACTCTTTTTTTTGTATTCATTCTCTTAATTTTTACAATATTAGTGACAATGTAATAAATTCTATCCAAACTTTTAACCATCAAAGGTTTAGTCTTCTTTAAATGAAATTTAATCAGGGTAGGACAGAGAGCCAAACGTGTTGCTGCTTCATGGATACTTTCGGTAGAATATAGAAATTGATATTGATCGTCATAAACGTGAATAATTTTTTTTTGTTCAGATAAAATTAACTTTGCTATTTCCTCTAATAATAAATATTAATAATATGAATATGATAAATAATAATAAATAGAATTTGTTAATCAAATAAAATCCACTTACTAGCAGGATTTTTTTCTATTAATTTGTAGCAAGCAATTTTGCTTGGGTCTAATTGTTTTGAATATAAATACCATTTTCTACACAATAATCTGCCAGTATCAATAAGTCTTCCTATTTTCTTTCTTCTAAGAACTTTACTAGCACTTGTTTTATCTTCAAAAGACTTTCTAAGTGTCATAAACTTATCATACAAAAAAACAGGAGTAGGTCGAGACATCACTACAGTCAGAAGTAAGTAAATAATTCGGATAATTTAAATCTTTTAAATCGATAAATTCAAGTTCCCGGCATTAGCTTAATGCTGGCCGGTTTAGTTGGTATTATCAACCATCTAAAAAATTTAGCTGGCCAATCAAATTTTGAGATCAGGTGTAACGTGGAAAAAGTTCAAATAACCTTATAGCGAAATGTTTTCATGGTTTTGCACAGATCATTTTTGAGATACGGATTCTTACAAAGATCCGTTCGGGTAATGCCCGGATTCCCCGGTCCAATCCGTATGGTAAAGTTGAGCACAGGCATTTATTCTGATTGGTCAAAATGGTCGGAAGTGTAGATAAACAATTTAAAAGATCGGATTCGGATCCAGAACATGGACCGTTAATGTTATATAATTATGCTCTATAGTCTATGTGATATAATTCCTCACCAGTTTTAATATATGTGTAACATTAATGACCCTCCTGTAAGAACATAACTACCCCAGTGCAGATCTATAATTTTGATTGGCTATACTATATCCTTATCCGTTTTAAAAAATTTATTATTTTAAAACTTTTCGATTGAAGGTTTCTTGATAAATGGCAAAGTAAATTTAATAAGAATTTTTATTTAAGTTCTACAAATTTGTAAGATTAGAAAAAAAAAAAAAAATTTATCCTAACAGTTATCGAGAGACGTTCACTTAAAATTTTAAAGAGGCGAATATTAAAGACTGCGATCATATATTTTAAACTTTAAAACAGAAAATCCTTAATAACTGCCAGGCAAAAGTTGGTGAAACTGATTTTTATTTTAATTTTACGGGTCAATAAAATTAAATAAAAAATTTTATTGAATTTGATCTATTGCTATTGAGAAACTTTTACAAATATAACTTCAAGTTTAAAATTTTTAAACATTTAAATGATTTCTTGACTATCCGATCAAATTCGTTGACAATATTTTTTATTTTGATTTTACAAGTTTATATAACTAAAATAAAAGCATTTTTATTGAATTTAGTCTGTCAGTTATTGTTGGTTAAAGTTTAAGCGATACAATCGTCGCCTTTTTTAAAAAAATTCTGTATTTTTAAGTGAATATTTCTTGATAACTGGGATAAACTTGAAAATTTTAATTCTACAGGTTTGTAGAATTAACCCCAGCATCTTCATATTTTATAGCCAATCAAAATCGTGGTGGTGACCCGCTGCGTCGTTGAACTTTTTTCACATTACACCTGATCTCGAAATTTGATTGGTCAGCGAAATTTTTTAAATCACTATATCGATATCGATATGAAATTTAAAGTCCCTTAAAAGGCTTATTATTGGTCCCAACCTTTCATTAATATTTATATAGAGTTAGTGTGGTTAGAAATTTAGGGTATAGTTTAGGGTTTATGTCTCTAACCTAACTTGTAGTTTAGGGTTAAAGTTCCCACATCGAGCATTATTAAAGTTATCCAGATGATTGTATTTATTTTGGGTAGCAATTTTGCGATTTATGGTGTTTCTAAGGAATATTCATTTGAAAAGTTTATATATATATATATATAGGCCTTAAAATCGTAACAAATCACAAAAACTTTAAATCGATGAATATAACCATTTTACTCGTAAGTATATATTAAATACTGTGCGTATGATAAACTCCAGATCAAGCGCGTTAGTACTGAACCCATTTCAAAACCAAGAAATTCCGTCAACTTTTCTTTCAAATCAAATTTATATTAAGTTATACTTGATAAAAATAAAACTGAGAACATCATATTACAATGCGTTGTTAATGTTTAGAAGAACAAGTCGCATCTAAGCCATATGAAACAACTTCGACCCAATATCCATCTGGATCACTAATAAAAGCGATATTATTCATCTTACCTGTTTAAATTCAGATGATATAAGTTTAATATTCAGGTGATGAATCTTGAAAATACGTGTTGTAATTTATAATATTTACCATCCTTTAACTTTTTGATGAACTTTACACCTAATTCTTCAAACCTTGCACAAGCAGCCTCAATGTTGTCAACACTAATTGCAATATGACCAAATCCACGGGGTTCTTTATTACCATTATGATAATGAAAATTAGGATCCTTTTCTGTATTCCAATTGCTATTTTGAAGAGTGGAAATTTGGTTGTTTTTAAAAGAAATTTTGGTAATTAACGTTTAATTAAACTCAAACAAGAGTTGATCATACTGTGTTAATTCTAAAACGGCTTCTCTGGAAAAAATGTATCTGTTTTTTTCTCCATGAGATTCTGGTATCGGTTCATGACAGTATGCAAGAAAGTAAAGTGTAAATTCAGATTCGGCAAAATCGATTTTATTGATAAGTCTTGATTTTCGTAGCGAAAAAGAGGTCAATAAAAAAAGAATCATAAATCAAACAGCTTGTTTGAATTGAATAAAAACTCCTACTTCATTCCTAAAACTTCTTGGTAGAATTTAAGTGATGCTTCCGGATCCTTGACTCGGATCATGGTATGATTCTAAATGGCGTAAATTTTTGCATGTAGTTAGAGGAAGTTCTGGCTGTGTTAACAAGCAGTTTGTATATATCATACAAATAAAATATAGTCATATTATTAATACTTACAAAACGGTAGGTTGAAACGTCAGTGGTCATTGCTAATTTGCATTCAAATGCGACGCGAAGAAAGAAAGATCGATCATTAATATCATTTGTCATTTATATATCAATTTATGTAATTATATCATTTATGTGTCAGATATAGAAATGATGTAATATTATTGCAACAAATGTAAAGCCATCAAACCGGTTTTTAATATAACGATAAGTGTGATGAAAATTATGTAGAGAGGTGGTATCATTTCCCAACTAAAGTTAGAACAGTATTATTTTTATTTCCATCACAGATACTAGAGTGTCCAGCTATTTCTAGCATCTGAAATAGCACTAACGATAACAAATTCAACCAGATTTGATCAATTTTAATTCGTGGTTTGAGATGTCAGTATTGACTACAAAGTTACTACGATAATCAAAACCATTAATTTTAGCCAATCGGAATCCTTGTTGATCAGCCGACAGGTTAGCTGATAACGTGATGTACTATTTAGGACCGTCACTTATCCAATACTCATAGAGCATTGTAAGTTACTCAGGAGCTATTTATATAAAAGTGAAGTTCTGATAATTGTTGATGATTTGTATATAATGTTACAAAGTTTTTAAAGTTTTTTTCACGCAGTTTAGCAAATTACTTGACCTAGATTTTTTTTAACCATTACATTTATACATCAGTTTGGCTGATTATTGGATATATTTAAACTTAATTTATGAACTTTTTTTTCGGGCTGGAATAAGTTTGAGATCTGTATTTTCATTTTCTTTGTGAAAGCAGAAATCTTCCGCCTTACCTGAACTCTGATTCGTGTGCTACTCTTAACACAAATCATCGTTCTGAGAAAATTTTTGTATCTTCGTTGTAGGTTTGCCTTCCATATCTTTTGTATATTTCAAATTCAAATAGAAAAATTTGTGCTGACGTTAAACGAACTTCTACGAATTGGGATAAAGAAAAAAAATTAAGGTTGACTATGCATTTTCAATTATATTTAGTTGACTATAGTGTTAAAATTTTATTACTGATTTTGGAAAAGGAAATATTTAAAAAAAATTCTTTTTTTGATTAGTAATAATTTTATGCTGTAATGACATAATGCTTTGTCATATATATAATTGGAGTTAATTTTTATGCCACCGTGATAGAGTTAGCCATATAATTGATTAACCTGTCACTGATTTCAGAAATACTATTAAAAGGAAAATGTTTATGCAACTTGAAGAAAATCCTATATCTTATGTGGCAAAAATACATCCATTGAACATAATATTAGAAAATTTATCTATTATACACAGAACACACAACATATAACACACTGGCAATTACAAGCATAAGCTCAAATATGAAACATTATTTGCAAAGACATAGATTGGAAATCTTTTTACAATTATATAAATTATTAATGTTTACTAACACAAGACAAACAAACCCAAAATACTCACAACTAAAAGCATTTAAACTAAAATTACTATTAGAAGAGTTGTTAACATTAGAAGTATTATACAAACATAATAATAAAAAGTACTCTAACCCAATATGTATAAGATGCCAAGCAACAACAAAAAGCAACTACCATTTGATAACCTGCAATAACAATAACATGAGTTTATGAAAAATAATATCAAAAACAGTCAACAAAACTTTAATCAAATATGAAATTACAGATGTCAAAACTAAACACCAAGTTATAATTTTAATAACTCAAAGTATCTGTCTAACTAATTTATAAATACAACTAATAAGAGTCACATTGAGAATGTTTTTCCAAAACAGTACAAAACTGATTAACAAAATAGCAAAAGTATTAAAACCAAAACACAGTCTATTAATTTACTTAATACACAAAATCTTGCAAAAAATAATAAAAAAATATGTATAACATGATGCAAGAAACAATACAACAGTCTATCAAAACCAAATTCTTTATAAACAAAAGATAATAATAAAGATATACTAACAGTCTCAACAATAATAATAGATATTCACAATACAAGATTAACTAAATCAAAAATAAAAATTAAATTTGAAATATAAAGAAAAATGTTTATAAATTACAATATCTTATCAAATTATATCAATATAATCATAGACTAAATAGGGATTTTTACCCTTTTTAGCAAAGTTTGGATCATAAGTAAAGTAACCTAAGCCTTAGCTTTTAGAGATTAAACAATATGTACTATAGATAAAAATGCATTTAGATATTAATAATCAATAAAGAAATTAAGACATGACCTTATTTTTTTTTTAAAAAAAATAATAATTATTAATTTTTTTTTTAATTAAACTAGTCTTTTTTAGGGTTTGGGTTTTTTATTCAGTAGTTAGAATATAGGAACTTATAATCAAAACTTTAAAAAAGTCTTCTTATATTAGAGAGTACAATTAGTCATACATACATTTTTAATGTCTAATTAAGTAGTTCACTAATGTTTCTACACTAGCTATCATATCTGCAACCCAACTAGGAGCATTGACGATTTAAATTCTTTGTACTGCAACTTTTACTGTATCACTAGATTATCTCTGTTACATAAGTCACTTAAAAGATCTAGATGCTTATCTATATACTTAGGATCTTATAACCTTATTTTATGCAATATATTCTCAGAAACATTATTACTAGAGCCTTCTATATCCTACATACAGCTAATCTAGTTTTATATAACATATTAGAGTTACCTAACATTTGTAATCAGAGTTAATCTTAAACTACTATATTATACTATTTCTATTCTTATGAAATTTACTTAAAATTCTGATATTTATCTTTCTAATATCTTCTTTATCATTCTTTACTAACTGCAACTCAAAACTAACAGACTTTCTAGATTTCTAATTTAGATAGTCCAATATAGTATATTTTAGTATTCTTTTTTTCTAATAATTCTAGCAGCCTAGTTGGTTATATGTTTCTTTATATACAGTATCTTGTTATCTAATTTATCTGCCTATTTCTATAAAGGTGTTTCATAGACTTCTATTAGTTTAACCTCATTGTTAAAAATTTGTATTATCTTTTTACTTGGAAATTTTCAAGTAAGTTTCTGTTACTTCAGTTTCTTAGTCTTCTATGCCTAGTGGTCTTATTATAGGTTTATATTAAAGTCTTATACAACATTGGTTATACATTTCTCTATATACATGTAATGTTACACTTTATATAAATACTCTGAACTTTCAATATTAATAGAATCTGACTTGGTATATCTAGATTATAGCTACATAAGGCCAACTGATTAACAGAAAACAGTTATTATAATACAGATATAATTTCCAAATTTTGGCATAAATTGGATTTAAACCTTAAATCTGCTACTTGGAGAATAACAATTCAATTACTATACTAGGATCTCCATCCTCTTTCTAATATTAATTTAATATATAAGCTTATTTAAAAAACATAACAGATTTTTAATAAATTTAAAAATTTAAATTTTAGATTTTTATTTTTATTTACTATATTAAAAGGTAATAAAATAAATAATAAAATATAAATTCTAAAATTTAGTAATCAAACTTTTATATTTTTTATATAGCTAAGATTAATAGTTCAAATCTGATTAAAGACAATATCTAAATACTTTAGTTTTTTAATTTAAAAAAAGATTAGTAATTAAACATAAAACTTTATAAATAAAAATCAAGTATAATATTGTTACAGAGTTGCAGCCTTCTTGGTACAATACAACCAAGTAACAAGATCACCCAATACAGTGATTGACTATTGCAAATATATACGGGGTAAAGATGTAGTAGTTCACTTTACTATATAGCAGTAGGCAAATAGTTTGAGATAATAACAGTATATAGATTAACTTTTATTAAATAAACATACAGTAACAACCTTGCCTGTAGGAATTACCTTATAGGGAGAATATCACATTTTATCATTAAAAGGTCATTATATTTGGGTTGAAGTGTAAGAACTTAGAATTACCAGAGAAGAGAAAAAGGTACCCTTTATATATCTTTTTACCTAATGAGGATAGTGGGGGTTTGAGTGACATCTCTTGATACTGTACTTAGGGTAGTAGGAATTGTGCAAAGGCAAGTGGAGTTTGTATAGAGATAGTTGGGACAATGTTTATATGTA